ATGCCAATAGCTTCACTGGTTTCCAAAATATGGCCCTTTGAAATATTTGAAAATTTAATTTCCATGCATACACCCTTTTGGAAAAATTCGAATTTTTAAATTTTTGGATTTTGCAATTTTTGACTTTACCAATCGAAAGAGGAGGTGGAAATTGATGGAAAAGCATTTCCGCAACTTTGTTTTTTGGGTTTTAGGGCTTGTGAAAAAATAAACACCGTTTTTCCACATTTTGGGCCCAGAAAATTTCAATAATCTGACATTGTTTCTCAAAACTACTCATTACTCGGTTATAACTGCACATATTATGATGCAAAATTATATATTTTGAATCAGAATTAAATTATCTTTGAGATAGAATAAGATTCAATTATCTATCTCAAATAATTTTAAAGATATTGAGGCTCAAAGTCAAAACATTTTCTCAAATTTCACAAAAGATTCAAAGCTGATTTTCTTGAAAACAAAGCCCTTGAGCTCGGAGTCTCAGAAAACCTTTTTTATAGCCCTTATCAAGAGCTACAATTGAGTAAAAGATTCATGCCAATAGCTTCACTGGTTTCCAAAATATGGCCCTTTGAAATATTTGAAAATCAAATTTCCATGCATACCCCTTTGGAAAAATTCGAATTTTTGAATTTTTGGATTTTGTAATTTTTGACTTTACCAATCGAAAGAGGAGGTGGAAATTGATGGAAAAGCATTTCCGCAACTTTGTTTTTTGGGTTTTAGGGCTTGTGAAAAACTAAACACCGTTTTTCCACATTTTGAGCCCAGAAAATTTCAATAATCTGACATTGTTTCACAAAACTACTCATTACTCGGTTATAACTGCACATATTATGATGCATAATTATATATTTTGAATCAGAATTAAATTATCTTTGAGATAGAATAAGATTCAATTATTTATCTCAAATAATTTAAAAGATATTGAGGCTCAAAGTCAAAACATTTTCTCAAATTTCACAAAAGATTCAAAGCTGATTTTCTTGAAAACAAAGCTCTTGAGCTCGGAGTCTCAGAAAACCTTTTTTATAGCCCTTATCAAGAGCTACAATTGAGTAAAAGATTCATGCCAATAGCTTCACTGGTTTCCAAAATATGGCCCTTTGAAATATTTGAAAATCAAATTTCCATGCATACCCCTTTGGAAAAATTCGAATTTTTGAATTTTTGGATTTTGTAATTTTTGACTTTACCAATCGAAAGAGGAGGTGGAAATTGATGGAAAAGCATTTCCGCAACTTTGTTTTTTGGGTTTTAGGGCTTGTGAAAAACTAAACACCGTTTTTCCACATTTTGAGCCCAGAAAATTTCAATAATCTGACATTGTTTCACAAAACTACTCATTACTCGGTCATAACTGCACATATTATGATGCAAAATTATATATTTTGAATCAGAATTAAATTATCTTTGAGATAGAATAAGATTCAATTATTTATCTCAAATAATTTTAAAGATATTGAGGCTCAAAGTCAAAACATTTTCTCAAATTTCACAAAAGATTCAAAGCTGATTTTCTTGAAAACAAAGCCCTTGAGCTCGGAGTCTCAGAAAACCTTTTTTATAGCCCTTATCAAGAGCTACAATTGAGTAAAAGATTCATGCCAATAGCTTCACTGGTTTCCAAAATATGGCCCTTTAAAATATTTGAAAATCAAATTTCCATGCATACACCCTTTTGGAAAAATTCGAATTTTTAAATTTTTGGATTTTGCAATTTTTGACTTTACCAATCGAAAGAGGAGGTGGAAATTGATGGAAAAGCATTTCCGCAACTTTGTTTTTTGGGTTTTAGGGCTTGTGAAAAAATAAACACCGTTTTTCCACATTTTGGGCCCAGAAAATTTCAATAATCTGACATTGTTTCACAAAACTACTCATTACTCGGTTATAACTGCACATATTATGATGCATAATTATATATTTTGAATCAGAATTAAATTTTCTTTAAGATAGAATAAGATTCAATTCTTTATCTCAAATACTTTTGAAGATATTGAGGCTCAAAGCTGAAACTTTGTCTCAAATTTTGCAAAAGTTTTAAGGCTGATTTTCTTGAAAACGAATCCCTTGGGCTCGGAGTCCCAAATAACCTTTTTTATAGCCCTTATCAAGAGCTACAATTTGGCAAAAGCTTACTGCCAATAGCTTCACTGGTTTCCAAAATATGGTCCTTTGAAATATTTGAAAATCAAATTTCCATGCATACCCCTTTGGAAAAATTCGAATTTTTAAATTTTTGGATTTTGACTTCATCAATTGACTTTGATTTTTGACTTCATCAATCGAAAGAGGAGGTGAAAATTGATGGAAAAACATTTTCGCAACTTTGTTTTTTGGGTTTTAGGGCTTGTGAAAAAATAAAAACCGTTTTTCCACATTTTGGGCCGAGAAAATTTCAATAATCTGACATTGTTTCACCAAACTACTCATTACTCGGTTATAACTGCACATATTATGATGTATAAATCGAGGTATAAATATATATTTTGAATCAGAATTAAATTATCTTCAAGAAAGAATAAGATTCAATTCTTTATCTCAAATACTTTTGAAGATATTGAGGCTCAAAGCTGAAACTCTGTCTAAATTTTGCAAAAGTTTTAGGATAGAATTTCTTAGGGTTTAAGTAGCTCGAACTGAAACTTTTTTCCAATTTATCCAACGAAGAATCCCTGACTGAATGAGGATTTAAAAAACATTGACATTAGAGGGTGTGTACGTTTTAATTCTAGAACACATCGATATAAACCATATCATGTGAAAAAGTTTTGAATTTTCGACATTTTACGTTTTAAACGGCACCTGTTCCTCTATTAAATTTCCTGGCTAACAAAGTGCCACCGTGAAAAATCGAAGCGGGATTTTTCCGATTGCGACTTACGAATTTTGCCTACATAGGTCGGCACTTAGATTTTGCTTGTTAGCGTTAAACTGACGACGAAATTCCCTCTGATTCGATTTGAAATTTGCGCATTTTTATCTCGTTTGATTTCGATGTCAGGGAATTACTTCAATATTTTCAAATATACCTACTAACTATTAAACAAACGCCAACAACCAAAAAAAAATATATACATTTTCTCTGACCTCTATGATTTCTTTTTTCTAACTCAAGAGTTCTTCGTTTAAATTTCACCTTATTATAATTATTAATTCAAAAATAAGTCAAACTTTCTAACTTGTTGGTTTCCTTTTTCAAGAAAATTGGGGTTGACATTAGTACACAGAGCAGAGAGGCGAAGCGCTCTTATCTGTAATGTGTTTTGCAAGAAGATAGAGCCTCGTTCGTTCTTATGGGGGCGCGTATAATCTCCGACGTAAATAGAATTTTGAGCTGTTTTGGAGCTGGGTCAGGTCAAATTCGAAATTAACCCTCCTCAACCGGGTGGTAT